AATGCTACCGTGCTGGTCCAGTGAGAGCTCTCTCCCTTCAGTCAGTATTTACTAGTGTGGAAGTGTCCAAGGAGAGGGAAAACCCTCTGTGAGTGAGGTTCAGGAATACTGAGCGTGTCAGCAAAGGCTGAGTGCTTGGCCCGGGAGGGTGATGTTTCCCTGTCCCAGCCCTGGGCATGTGGGCAGAGGGGTCCCACTTGTAGAGTTGTTTGTGCTGCTCTGCTCAGGGGAAAATGTCTTTGTGTAGCTGTGTTCCTGTAAATGTGGCGATCAGATTTGCCAAGCAGAATTAAGCAGGAAAATTTGAAACTTTTCTGTGAATAAAAACCAAACATGATGCCAACTCACTAGTTAGTCCAGAGTGAACCTGGACAAACACTGAGGGAGTGCAGCACCTGGTTAGAATTGTTTTACGGAAGACTGAAGACTTGGGAATTCAGACTGTAGTTTGGAACTAAAAGCTCCAGAGCTCCCTGGAAGGTTCCCAGCTGCTGCAAGTGGTACTCCTACCATTGTTATGTCAGATAAAGTGTACCAAAGCCAGTTTTAATTAAAAATGAAGTTTAGTTTATTTTCTTGCAATTTAACCACTGTTTTTGCACTGTTTGGCTGTTCCATACTGGACTTAAGTCTTCTGCAGCTTGCTTTCAGCCTGTGCTGAGGGTATTATTAAGACACCTGAGTTTGCTGTAAACTATTAAAAGCCTCAGAGAACATCCAAAATCAGAGAACTGGAGAAAGAAGGGGCATCTGTGCCTCTAGGTCAAGGATGAAATGGCTTGCTCTCACCTTTTCTACAGAAATGACTGGTTAGTGCCAGTGTCTCCTGGGACAATGGTTGGGCAGGGTTAGTCGTGAATTCACTGAGGAACTTCGCTACAGTCAAGAAGGTTTTAAGACTGAAGGTTGAGCACCTGGGAGTGGGAAGGCCACGTACTGCAGTGGTTCTGTTCCTGGTTTTGGCACACATGCAGAGGTAAGTCATGTCTACCCAGGTCTGCTGGTCTCTTTCGAGGCTCATGCCCTGCTGATGGAGAAGGTAAAGGTATGTGTATTAAATGGCCCTGTTGGTGAGCAGTGCTGCCCGTGAGCCTCCTAGCACCTCTCTTGGGTGTAAAAGCCATAGCAAAGCCTCTGACACAGGAGGTGACTGTAGTCCTGAGACAGAGCGCACGCTGGGAGGAGCTCTCCCTCGTGCACCTCTGGAGAGACATAGTGCTGTTGCCTTGTGCACTATGACGGGAAAGCACCAAGGAAAAGTCAGAGAGCTTTGGCTGAAGAACAAGGCAGCTGCTGTGGAGCTGTATGTAACTGCAGTTTAAAACCAAGCAATTAAATTATCTGTCATCTCGGCTGTCTTACACCCAAGAAAAGCACTTGAGATGATTGCTGTTCCACAGGGAGAGGCAGAATGTTCCTGCTGGAGAGGTTAAATAATGATTAAATTGGTATATTTTAGTTATTAAATTGGTATATTTTCTGTCATGGGCCCCTCAGGGATAAAGTGTGCTTCAGCACACAACATAGCCCAGCTGTGTAGTAACTGGCTGCTCAGGGAAGGTAGCTGGAGACACTGTGTGTAACAGGCTTGGATCTGTATCCCCGCCAGATGAAATGGAAGGTTCTGTGCACCAGGAAGACGCAGCCTGGTTTCTGCCTTCTCTGTTCCTCAAGAAGGATCTAAAGATAGTGGTGAACGTTCCCCTCAGCCAAGCACAAGTGTGCCAGCTCTGGTGAGTAGAGCTCTCTCTCAAATAACACTTAAAATACTTCTGATGTGTTTTGCTGGGGTATCACATTAAGCAAGGGCCCCACTGGCATGGTGGTTGGGTACTGGAGGAGCCTTCGTTCACACAGCCGCTGCAGCTCACCGCTGCTGTAGTGTAGAGTAGCTGGTACAGCCTGAGCAGGGAGTGCTCCCAGCACTGCTGCTGCTGCCCAAAGGCTTCTGAACGAGGCTGAAAGATCTTTTCTCCATTGCCTGGTTTGGCCTCCTAGGAACAGCTGGCTGTGTTCCACCCCCGGCAGCCCCCGTGCCCCTTTGGGAGCTTCAGCCCGGCTGCAGTGACAGTTCAGCTGCTGCTTCCAAACTGCTGCAGTCACAGCTCCAGTCTATGATGGTGAACTGGTTACAATTTTGAGTTTTGTGCATGTGCCAGTTTTAAAGCCTACAGTTCGGTTACACAGCGTAGTAGCGTTGCTGCTTTATGAGCAGCTGCAGGAGTTCCCTGCAGCAGTGGCAGAAGCTCTGCAGTCATCTGACGGCAACACGCCAGCGTGTAGCATGGACCCTGGCGGGATCAATCCTGAGCGTGGGGCCACTGTAAACCCCCCTGTGTTGCCTCATGTGGTTTTAGTTTGAAAGAAACTGAACATCATGCGAGGTTGCTTCAGCCCTATGGGGTGAGCACAATCTGCCGGATCATCCAGTGGTCACTTACCAGCAGCGCTGCCAGTGCAGGTTTAGCAGGCACGCATGCACGCTGCCTATGCTATGTCAAACCATCTCTGTCTGTCTGGCGTGTGTGTACTTGTACGTAAAGTTCATTTTCACAGCTACAGAAGCTTGAAGTGTAGGTAGAAACTGTATTCAGGAGAGGTCGCTCACTGAACGATGTGCAATGTGCCAAACTCAAGCCCTGGTGTATTTGTGATGTCAGGTCTGTTTTCTACAACTAAGATTCTGGTTTGAATTAAATTAGAAAAAAATTAAGTGTGCATGGAGGGGTGAGATTACACATACAGAGCTGGAAGCTGCCTTTCATTTAGCTCTCAGAAAAAGATAAGCCATTACAAACAGCATGGGACTTAAATCTCAAATGTGTGTGTATGGTCCATGTTTTTCTAGGCCATGGTGCTACCCTTTTGTGCAAAATTGCTGCTTGCTGCTAATTAGAAAACTCATGCAGTAGGAAAAAAAATACTGTATTTTTCCTCTTACCATGTAGAAAATAGAACACTCTCCAATTACTGACCTGAAAGATAGCAATGCTACTAGTCCTGTTTCATGTAGTCCCCAAAATGTTGCTGTAGAGGTGACTTTTTCCTAAAAGGAAACCAGTTCCCTTCAGAAAGCAGACTGAGGGGCCTGTGAGGCTTGTTGTAATTGGCCTCTCTCCCAAAAGCTCTTACAGCATGTATTTAGGCTTCTTTCCACGGGTATTTAGAGAGGGATGTTTTTCAGATGTGCTAAACTAATCATTCTTGATGTGTTCTCATGGAATCTCTCACCCCCCAAACCCAGCCATTTAACAACGTACACGTGTGTTGTGCCTGCTTTGTTTTTTCAAACCACTTAAGCCCTTCTTGTCCAATAGTAACTTTGGATCTCATCATTTTTAGGGGTTCCTTTTTCAATTTTGGAGCCACCTCAACTGCATTTAGTGTTGAAATTCCTCTGAAGGCTCTTGCCTGGATCACTGAATTTTCTCAGACTCTGGTAATTGGAGCACTTGTTTTTTAAACATCAAACATCTCCAACCAAATGAATGAACGATCTGTTGAAATGCTGCTCACCCAAAACACAGGACCAGGGATCTCTACATCTGAAATGCAGCTGTCTTCTTCAGGGAATCATTTCAGTTCTCCAGGTAAAACTTCAAGAAGTTGAGGGACAAAATGAAATGAAAGACACGCTGGTGTTTTTCCAAAGTGGTAACTGTCGAGGAGCTGCTGCTCATGAGCTCTGCTGGGAGCAGGCACAGCCGTGTTGACCTGGATGGAGCGATCTGGGCAAATGCCCAAAGCCCCAGCCAGTGGGACTGCTGCCAGCACCTGCTCAGGGGCCAGTGCTGTCCTGTCCTCTGAAAGCCAGGGCTAGTTCTGCCTGTGGCTGCTGTGGCAGCAACAGGTTCTCTCTGTAGCTGTTAAGACTGTTCCTTGACAAAATCCCAAACCTGTAGGGGAAAACCCCCCAGAACCTAGACTACAGCTACGCCGGCCCCTTCAGGGGCTGACCGTCCTGAATGAGATGCGTTTCCTCAGAAGGAGAACATGGCACGAGCAGGTGTTTGCTTCTGCTTCCAGCTCGAGGAGTACAGAAACCAGTTTCCTCCCTCACCTAGCAGTACAGACGAGTGTGTGCACACCTGTGATTTAAGAGCACTTTATTGTTCTTTAAGGCTACTTTTAAGTACAAAAAAAAAGATGGCCTGCCAAACCTTTTTTTTTCCCAGGTGAAACAAGGCCACAAAAGAATGGTATATTACAGATTTACAAACACAGAGAGAATCTTTCCAACTGGACTGTAGATAACCCGGCTCTATGAAGAAACTTCACCATGTCTCATGATGGTGAGTTCGGTTTAGTTTCCTGCCACCTCCCCCCAACCCCTTTGGCTTTCAGGACATAAGTGTGTCTAATACACGTTTTACTGGACATATCACATTACATCTTTATTGCCCTCAAATCCATTTACCTATCTCAGATAAGTAAATGTAACCTTGTAAAACAGCTATTATTGAAAATACTAGCTTTAAAGACATTATCTTATTTGTGTTTACAAAGAAATACAGGAGTCACATTTTCCACAGAGTCCATCTACAGTATTAGTACTTTACTGTTATAATGCTCAGTAGCCTGTAGCAATAACAAACTAGTGGCTATTAATGCTAATGCAGTGTTCTCATAGAGTAACTGTGTTCCTGCACTTTTACTGTATTACAGACACATCTACAACAAAAAAAAAAAGATCAACTTTTTTCTCCAAACAAAAAAAAATGAATGATTACAATAAAGGAAAGGGAAAAATTAAATAGCTACATATCATTAACAAATTAATTGTTCCTCAAAAAATACCTACAAATTTCTCTGTACATTCTTTACGCACAGCGTAACGATGGTCTTAAAGTTACCTATATAAAAAAGTGTTCTTTTAACAATCTTCCTACAGAGAGTAGGGTACTGAATGCCAAAGCAGGTAAGTGTTGACTACCCAGTATGATGGTAGTGAAATGTGTAAAACTGGGGGCTTAGGTGTGGGGGTTTTTTCTTTTTTTTTTTTTTTCAAGAAAACTGAGCAGCCACCTTCTCAATGAGAGTAAGAGCCAGTCTCCCAACCTCTTTCTACCCTGCACCTTTTCCAAATTAAATAGCTTAACTTTAAAAAAAAAAAAAAACCACAACATAAAATCAAAGCCACAATGGACCCAATACTGTAACATAGTCCATAATACATCATGTGTAGCTCATCTTCCAACTAGTTCTAACTTTCTACACTGAACCAATCATTTCAGGTAACCCCGTATAAAAAAAGCCCTAGCTGCAACTGTACTGGGAAGATGGAATGTATGGGGGAGAGCAGTTACACGTAGCAGGAAGAAGAGAAGCTCTTAGCACTAGCACAGCTGTGGTTTTACACCTGCCTCTACTGCCTAATTTCTAGTGAGTAGCTATTAATATAGCAAATGGTAATAAATGCAGTAATACCTGTATAAAGTCTTCTAATGGAGGAATGTATCCTGCAACTTGGCATAGCTTTATGAATAAGCTTAGACAAACCAAAGATCGTATTTCACAAACTGTAGCAATCTGTTGTCCAGCCAAGCTATGGAACGGGAGCAGTTTCTGCAGCTAGTTAAGGGTGGATTACACAGACTTAGTTGAGGAAGCAAATTCCCGTTAAGCAGACAGTGCTGCAGAAAGAAACAATTACTCAGTCCTGCACAAAGCTATAGCATCCTGTACCACACCACCTATTGCTAAACGGCGTCACTTGGGCCTGTCCTGAGGCGGTCCTCTTTTGCTGGCTGCTACTAAAGTGAGTATCAAATACAAATATCAGAGTACAACTGTACCAGCAGTAAGTATATCTAGGATTGTTACTGACAAAAATAAACTAATTCTGAAGAAAAGCTAATAAGTATTATGATTCTTACTTCTATACATTAATAGATACCAGCTATTTTTCATAAAACATGCATTGTTAAGCACTATTGAACCCTCCAACCTCAGCTCTATTCTAACAAACTGCAGTGTTTAGGAAAAAATGCCCGTGTTCTGTAAATTATGCAGTCCAGTTGCAAGCACTAAGCACCTGAAATCTAAAGAGAGAAAGACCTATAACCTGTATGAGACTTCCCCTTCCAAAGCTGTTTTGCTTTAAGAAAAATCAAACTGATAGAAATGTCATCCTTAAACCCTTTTTTCAGCAGTTTGCCCTCAAAGTATTAGCATCTTCCAGAAAGTTGCTACGCAACTTCCCTCCTCCTCCAATAGTGCAAATCAGACATGACAATTCTTTTCAAGTATATACATACAAAATTACTTCACAGAGAGAGAAAACAAAAGCAATGTAAGCAAACCAGACAAAATCTAGTCTCAAGACGCTAGTAAAAGCAAAAGGCATTTGGGTCAACCAACTAAGTGTAATTTTGTAATGGCTTTTGTGGATTAGCGTGCATTATTTTTTTTTTTTTTTTAAGGGGCAGCAGATTTGCATCAGAGGTTTCTTTGGTAATTGAGGCAGGAAAAAAGGATGCTACATCAGATGAATCTTTATGAAATAGTTCCTGCTGTTGTCTTTAAGGGCACCCTTTTACACATAAAAAGTGAGTACACAAAAACGTGTTGAAAACTAACCTCCCCTCCCCCAACACTATTTTAAGCACTGCTCAAAGCTCAGTCAAACCATGCAAATCCCCAAAATCCTCTCTTCATGAGACTACAGAGGGCGAGTGATTGTGATTGACCATGTGGGAAGAAGGGGAAGACTGTCCCCGCCGCGAAGCAGACTCTGGACTGCCCGAGACTCCGTCCTTTGCAGCTTTAAGCTGCAGCCACGTATCCCCAAGTGCTTTGGCGAAGTGGTCGTCCACCGATCCTGTGATGGACACAGAGTTTGCCACTGGCTCAGGCTCCTTGTAATTCTTGCCAAGACTTCGGCGGAAGTGCTCTTCCACCACGGGGTCGCAGGCAGCGGTAGCTGGACGGGGAGAGGAGGCAGAAGACACATTAGTTCAGTGCAGAACCCTGGCACCAAGGCCTGGATTCAGAACCCCTGTTTTCTCCCACTCCCCTATCATCTCAGCATAAAACAAGACTTCTTTGCATCATTATAGAACTGGCAGTGAATGGGGTGGGGCAGAAGATGGAAGGGGTTAACATGAAAAAATTAATGGAGTTAAGTATTTTTGTGTTTCTGTGACCTGCAACAGGTAAGCATTTTAGATACTGTTATAGTTCTCCCTCGGGCTTGGAACAGCTCCAGCTGTGATTCTATGGAAACCCTCTCCCAAAGCAATCATGTAGAACTTACGTTTAGGCTCAAATAGCATGAAGGATGGCAACAGGTCTTTAAAATCAGCTCCCCGGCCTGCTGATACCAGCCAGATGCGAGGAGACCTCACTCTAAATTACAGCACACCACAACTTCACATACTGTGCTAGGAGCCAGTCAGGAAACTAAACGAACTGTTACCTCTGCATTAGGTACTATGAGCATTAAAATGGTGTAATACCAATACAAGAGCAACAAAGAACCTTAAAAGACAGGTTTGGAACAATAATACTAATAATTCCTCAGGTGAAATACAAGAGCATTGCAGTTTCACAATTTAGAAACACCATCTGTGTGTCTAAACAAGATTTATCTTTCAAAAAACCCTTAAAACTGTTGGGGTTCATGGCATTGTCCTTCATGCTACAGAAAGGCTTCATTGATCCTAAAACAAATGTGAGTGTCACGCACAAAAGCCTCTTCAAGTGCCAAGAGAAGCGTTTTCTGAAACCGTTAACCCTCTTCCAAAGCCCAGGTAAGTACAGCCGAGGTCTCAGCGAAGAAGCTCTCCTTAGACAAGTTTTTCAGAAAACTTCTAATGTCTTAGATCCCTACCTACTGATTTCTCTAAGAGTGTAGTATATCCTCCAGGGGCTTGCTTTAGCTTCTAATTCTAGTTTTCAACAACACACTGATTTTTTTTTTATTATTTTTTTTTTCTTAAATAAGTAGTAGTATTATTATTACCCTACTATGGAGTTTTAGGTTCCTACCTACACAACAGTGGTCCTGTCACACTGACACATTGTGGCTGATGATGCCTTACTGCCTGGGACTTTTGGAAATGCTGGGTGTTAAAGCTATGCATCAGCAGGTACAGGAGTTGAAACGAGTCGCACAGGAAGAGAAAGGGAAGAGGAAACATCCCAAGCTTTCCTAGCAAGTGGTGCAGGAAAAGATTTCATGAAAAGCACTAATGGCACAGAAGGTAGAAAGCTAAAGCTCCCTGCTTGGGATGCTACAGCAACTGCCCTCCTAAGCTTTTTGTTTTTTCTCTGCAGAGAATGGTGGAGGGTGTGTGCTTTGGAAGAGTATTTGTGACTGCAGCTGAATCATAAAAGTCTACCGACTACCCAAAGGCTGGGGAAACTACAGCTCCTAAAATATGAGCATGGTTGGACCTGCTGGCCCTGGCTGCTGTTTGTCAGTTAGACCAAAATAAACATAATGAGTTATTTGTCTGTGTGGGGTGTTTGTTTTCTTTAAAGAAGGTTTTTGGAAACAAGAAAAAAAGAAGGAACACCTCTCTCTCTCCTTAATTTTGACTTGGTACTTTCTACTGTGGCCAGAAAGAATGTGGCGGGAGACTGGGCAGCCAGGATACCCATGTGTCTGTTGCTTCCCTGCCTTTTATTCTGGTCGGTGCCCACATGGTTAAGGTCAGTGAGCTGATTTTGCTCTCCTCGAGCTCTGAGCGGGCAGCTAGGGCTGCAGACGTGTCACTTACTGCTGGAGGGTCTCCGGTAGGCAGGCACGGCCGAGCCACAGCTGCTATGGGCAACAGGGCAGTGGGAGAGGTTACAGTTCCGGGCACTGGCAGATGCACAGGTGATGACAGATGGACGGTTCTCATAGGGAAGAAAAAAAGAAAACAGTCACTCACTAGGGCAATCAGCCAAAGCCCTATTACCAGCAGCTCATTGCATAATCATTTGAGATGTGCAAACACCAAACAGAATCCCAGCACCGAAATAATCCATAAACTGTCCAATTCAGTAAAGCATATTAAACCCCAAAATATTCAGCTATTGTTTCTTTGTCCGATTAAAAAAAACCCCAACACATTGCACTTCCACAATGGTTCTTACTTATTTACGTGACAAACAGCCCTATAGAAAAAGGGCAGCATAAAAGCAAATCATTAAAAGCATTTAAGTGATTTTACAGTGATGGTTCCAGCTTCACAGACATCACATATGCAGAATTAAATGTCAACATAATAAATACTTGTTTCACTCTATGGCCACAGATCCTTGGGATTTCAGGACTCAGAAGGGCTTTAAAAAGCAGGTATTTGTCTTCCCAGTGTTAATCAAATTTTAATGTTTTGTCATTCAGAAGTTAGGCATTCCTAGCCTGACTGATTCTGTATGCCACCCTTCAGCCACAAAACAAGAACCTAGAAGATGTAAAACAGAAAGAGCTCCTGAGCAAGTCTTGAACACACGTACATTCCTGTTGTCATCAAGCTGCCTTTCAAGCAGTACTTACTTAATAAACATCGTCCATTTTCATTCGCAACACATGCAAAGTCCTCAAAACGTCTATTCACAAGCTCTCACTTCCACAATGTATATTTTGCACAAAGTGTAAACATAAAATATGCTTCCTGTAGTTGCTGTCTGTGTAGATGTGACATGGAAAGAAGGCCTTAGGAAAAGAAACATTCCAGTTTCTCCTGGTCGCTGAAGGGAAATAACGTCCATATTGGAGTATTTGGCTCTACGTCTTCAGGATATTTTCTGCTGCAAGGAGTCCATTTTGCTATACTCAATGCTAGTTAATTAAGCATCCACTAGACTAACAGAATTGATGTAATTACCACAGTTTTAATTTCTTGTCCATTTTACAAATCTGTGCAGCAAACCCACAAAATCACTACTTCACCTACACTACACAGAGTCAATGAGGAAGGAAAGGGGTTTCATTGTTTAGTGGTACTTTATAGCCAGAGTAAGAGCAAGATCAACGAAAGAGATGAGCTTTCATGGGGAGGCTTAACACTATTGGTCTAGATGCAACGGGAATGATGCTACTTAAATCTTACTGCACTGACAGCAAATTTAAAAGAGTAAATGAAAAAGAAAAAAGAGATTTGATTTTTCTGTAAGCAGTTCACATGTGGAAGTATTTGTTTTTTATAGGGGCCAAGGTTTTGTGCATCTATGACGTACTTTTTGAGAAGTGCGTATCTGCGTATCTCTTCAGAAGCCTATTTCAGATATGCAAGAGGTGGGGGGGGGGGCAGGTAATAAAAAAGGTTGTCTCAAGAAGCGTGTACCAAATACCACAAAGGGTCTGAGAGGCAGGGGAAGGCATCTTACAGAATCCCCTGCTACGGTTCTGTGTACAGGTGCACTGAGCAGACTACACATATTTATATGAAAATACTGAGTTAAGCTGGGAATTTAGTAACAATAACTACAGCAGCTGACTAACCTTACACTGCCTAAAATAGGAAGGTATTTTTTCCCACCACTTCATTAGAAACAGAGTAAGATGAAATCCCATTCAACATGTTAAGGTTAAAAAAGACCCCAAACCCAAATAACAAATCTTCATTCTTATTTTCAATACACTTTGTATTTTGTATGATTTCTACTCTGTGCTCTTAGCAAGGTCTTACCTCAACATCCTATTTTCTCAAGAAACCAGATTGTAATCTAGCTCAAAACATCCAAGACAGCAAAAGAGAGAGGAATGTGGTTACAGGCAACAGGAATCGTCCTCAGTCAAACACGCCAGAGCAGCAGTGTCAGTGGAGTTGGCTGCTCAGCTGAGTCGCAGCGGTGATGCTATCAAAGGGCACCAGTGTCGTCAGCAGGAGCCCATCCCTTCCTCAACGCCTAGAGCAAAGCAGAGCCGTTCTGCACAGGACAATAATGCTGCAGTCTGCATGCCAAATGATGCAAGGTACCAGCAGCACTAGTGCACAGCTAGGTGGGTTGGCATAGCACAGTTTAAGAGACTCGCATACGTGGCCAACCACCGTGAAAATATACACAGTAGATGTAAAGTATACGGCTCCAGCGAAAAGAAGCTTTCATAAACTGCACATGAAAAATTCCAACCTCTGAAATGTCACCCACTTGAAGCAGTGGCATCGCAGCAGGGGAGGAAGGATGGATGGAAGGAAGGAAGGAAGGAAGAGCTTGGGTACATGGGCCAGTTTAATTTCTCAACACTGCAGCTCATCACAACTCAATTCTCTCGCTTTGTCTCTCCACTTGTGAGCGGGATAAAAGTGAGTCTCACATGTAAGAAAACTATTACTGTATAACCTGCATAGAGATGGCTCATCTTCAGCAGTTCTTAAGGGAAACAAATACCATGTGCAAGATGGCAAGCCAAAAACCAACCAACCAGCCAAAACCAACCCAACCCACTCCAGCATATGGAAATAAAGTATAAAATAATCAAAAATCATTACTTTCCTTTAGGAAAAGTCATTATGAAATAGTGATACAACATTGCTCTGAACAACACAATGAATGCTTTTGGCTGGCTAAGCTTCTTTCACCTGGGAAGTTCAGTGCGAAATTCTGCTTTATGCCCTTCTTTCTGCCTCTCACCAGTTCTTCAGCAGTGGCGGCAGCAGAGCACCAGGACAGAGGGGAGGGACGCACGCAGCCCGGGTGAAGACCCTCTTTACCTGCAAACTGCATCAGTTATTGCCTAGCAGGTACTGGAGCTTCGCCCAAGCACAGGCTGTATTCCAAATTAAAACACATGCCTCCACCAACTTAGCAAAGCATCAGAAAAAGCAGGAAGGCCAAGAAATCTGTGACAGATACATACCCATTAAACCCAAACTGTGACATTCTTTGTGCATTTTTAAAATACGTTTTGCCTGAAGAGTAGTATTGCCTGCCAATTGTAACTCACAGTACGTTCTGCTTGCACTGGGGAGTCCTTCTTGCATCTACAGCAAGGATTCCTAGAACCACCCAGAGCTTCTCGTCAACCTAGAAGCCCGTACCTGCTGCCGTTCCACAGAAGTCAGTGTAGGTGTGATGCCAACTGTCCGGGTTGCATCCATGCTGTTTTTGGTCAGTGCTAGAGGTTGATCCACGGTCAAGCTTGGGATTGAGGCATACATGTGATTGGCATGAAGGCTCATTGTTGGGGCAGCAGCCCTCTCTATTGGGCTGCGACTCCTCTCTCTGTGCTCCTTACGATAATCTCCATTGGCAGTCTTGTTCCTAACACGAGACAGAAGAAAAGGTCAAAGGACTTACTGTTGTTACAAGCTATAATGAGATGAGCAACATTAAATCCCTTTCAGAAACGTGAGGCAATGCATTTTGCTTGGTTGTGAGGAGGGGTACAGAATACCTCAGTGAGGCTCCCCTGGTCTATCCAGCCACCTCCCTGCAAGGATAAGCCAGTGATTTACCTTCACAAGCTCTGGCAACCAATGTTTTTTCTTCAGCCTAGAATTTTTTCAGATACTTACTTAAACGCAGTGACTTAAAGTCACAACTGATCATGCTTCGTTAAGGTCAGACACCTCCTCATTTAACATACTATTAATCCCACAGCAAAATACGGTGAGTCAAGGCAGGAAGCAGAGTTTTCAGAGCAGAAAATGAAGCAAAAGCAAACCACAGTGCACTTGTCTCAGAACCATTTAATTACAACTGTTCTTTAATTTCAAACTTCTACTGAACAGTAACTCTCAGTAGATGTACTCACATAATTAGCCTATCATTCACTGCAACTAAAATAGCACTGATTTTGTACTTACGGATGAGATATTTCAGTTTCCACACAGCAACAGAATCGTCATTAAAGGCAAACCAGTGTACCAAAGGAAAGGCCCTTCACTCACACTGGCGAAGGCAGTCATTCATGACCACTGATCTAGGTACGCATGGGTACCGTGGGCAGTCTCAGATGCACCAGTACGACAGCAGCTAATGTGCTGCAGTACCCAGTGCTGCAGCACGAAACAGCAAACTCCGTCCCTCTGTCACACGGGAGAGCACCAGAGGAGAAACCTGTTCCGTGGAAAACACATTCTCGCTTCAGAAGGCTCTCGAAGTGATAGTGAAGTGTCCTCTGTGTAAGTGGGCAAAATCCATTTACAAGGGGTTTCCCCTCCCCAGTTTTTAAAGCATATCATAGCAAAGTGATATGCAGGAGCTATCTTTAAAAATGTTCGAATATCAGGCAGAGACAGAAAAAGGTTTTCTGTAGTACTGGAAATTAAGATGTATGAAGAGTATTCAATATTGAAGTAGTTTACAACTCCAAGAAGCTATTTCAATGTCTGAGAAAGTCACTCAAAAGGGAAGGCTAACAGCTGAGGGGAAAAAAAAAAAAGCACTCTGCCAACAGAGGGAAGTAAGGAACCCCAAAGGTACAACAAAAACGCTATAGAAAAAACCTGCAGGTTCAAGCCAGCTAAGCACCCTTGACCTAGCATGGCCATGCAGCCATGCTGCAGCCCTTGCTGCCCCGTGGGGAGCTGGACACACCAACGGGGGTGCAGTGCAAATGTCCCGGGAGTCGGGGCAGTCGCTGTGCTGCATGGCACTTCTGTAAGTGCCAGCTGAGACCATGTAAACTGTCAGCCTTGATAGCATCCTGTGGCCACGGATTCCACAGCTTAAACTACATGCTCTGTTAAGTACCTTTTCTGCACAAGCTCTTTGTTTCTTTCCAACCTAAAATCTAATGGCTTGGTCTGCTACTGCCCTAGTTCTTGTATTAGGGGAGAGAGAAAGCCATCGCTCATCATCTTCATGCCACTCCTGAGTTCATCTCTGTTCAACAACCTTTTTTCTCCAGGTCCTATTTTCTTCATATAAGAACTGTTCCTGTACCTTTGTCATCCTTGTGGCCCCTCTCATCTATAATCTTTCTTGAGATGAGAGTCCGGATCTCTGCTGTATTCAGGAACAGGACCTTTGCTGAACTCATCACAAGTCTTCAGTGCTACTCCTCAGCTTGCTCAAGAGCCACTTGGTTGTACAGAAATCTGTATTGCTGCCTGAATCAACTCATTTATCATTTAAGTTAGGGTTAATATGATGCCAGGCAACCAGTGACTTTAGAACCTCAGGACACAGCCTGTTCTCTATGCCAGATTCCCCGACACACTTAGGAGGGAAAAGCCAGCAGACGAACAATACAATTTGTAACTGTTTGGATCCCCCCGCCTATTGCTTGTCCCTTTTAACTAATTACAAATTAGTAGATGCACATTAGCGAATTGACCATAAAATCTAGCCTTTAAGGTTACACAGCTGGTGCTCAAGATGTTCTCTAAAAATCATGTGTTTCTTGAATCCTCCTTTATAGGCCAGATTTGGACAGTCTAAAGCAGCACACAAACCACCAGGAAAGGCATTCTCACAGTGCTGCATTTCCCTCTTTTGCCAGCTTTGGTACTGTTTCAATTCAAAGATTTCTCTGCAGTATTGGCATTCAGAAGAAAGAAGTTTAGAATTGCATCGCTATTGAGCTAATGACCGATGCAAATGTGTGACTTAATGGCAGCGCAACAGACTCTATATTTAAAGTACAGTAGCCTCATCTTGAATTACAGCACTGAAACAGCTACTGAACACACTAAGTAATCCTTCACCACCCCTGAGGCAGCAAAGTATCAGACTCCATAAAAAGTGTGCCTTTGCAGGCTGTTTTTGTACCTGGAGCGCGGCCACTAGATAGCCTGGGAAACAATACAGGGAAGACATGGCTAAAATCAGTGCTCGAGTGGTAAAGGCAATGCTGCGTAGGGATGGCTCGCTCTTCTCGCTGCAATGCAGTATCTTTGGTGGCTGCAAGCCAAAATCTTACTTTTCAACTAAATATTATCTGGTCTACTACAACTGAAATAACCGTTTGGAGGCTGCAAAACCACATGAGGCTCCAGCAGAGTCCTGCTTTTCACTGCCTCAAAGAGAAAAAAATAGTCCCTGTTCAGAATGGTTATATTCTGCTTTAATAAGCACAAGCTGATTTTCAAAGGAAAAACTTTGTCTCCTCCACCAAAAATACTTGTAAAATGAAACAAAAAAATGTAGCTACACCAGTTGTTTGGGAATTTTTCCTTAGAACTGGGATTTCTACAACTTAGTGCTGCATTTACTGGGGATGGGGCAGGGGGGGCGGAGAGGTCTTAAGTGACCTGTGATGAAACAAACCTACTGAATGCCCAAGCAAAGAAATTTTCCATTTTACACAACAGCGCCTATTTCACTCATCCTCACTTTCCACAAAAAGTCACAGTCCTAAATATTGGTGAACTGGTAGTTTTGCTGCCAAAAAAAACCAAACACAAAACAAAACAAAAAACCCAACAAAACAGCAAAACTTTTCTGCAAAGATTTCTGGAAGAAGGGACCAAGGAACTGGGAAACAGGATCAGCCTGATGGCAGGAACCACAGCACAGTAGACAGACCTCCCCTAAGGATAGCCCAAACTATTGGGCACCCTCAGTAATCTCCACAGACCACACCCTAGCCCTTTCTGTAGGCAAGTAATTCTCTCTTCCCAAATTAGAACAACTCTTCTTCTGGGCAGGGAACAGTTTATACCTCACTCCTCAAAAATTCTCTCCTCAATTCATCTACCTTCACTAGATAGTCTTGGCAAAAATGAAAAATACCTTAAGCTTCTACTTCCACATCAGACAGTATTTTTTCTGAGCCCAGCTGAAAATTTTACAGCACCGTGTAGAACAGTAATGTGACAGCTCTGCCCTTGTGAAAAGACACTAGCACTTCTGAGTCCCTCCTATTTAAATATAAATAGCAAAACCTACAGATATCTGACTCCACTTGTAAAACAACTGTACATAAAATTAGTTCTAGAGTATTCAACCATTTCACATTAATAAATAATTTTAGTTTAAAATATACCTCTAAAAATAATTTTCTAATAGAAACTGAAATTTTGTTACTTTTTTTTTTTAATTACTGAGAGAAGTCATATCGATATTAGATGCTTTGTCTGAAGGGGCAATCAAAATTGCCTATGTTTGAAGATAATTATATTTTACTGAAGTCAATTAGATTAAAAATTCCACGCACACTGAACAAGTACAGAGATGCATCTCTTAGTTCAAATGTAAGGGCAGAAAATTACAAAGAAGGATTTCTGACCATGTTTGAAAAATAACTTAAAAATATATGCTACAAATAAATCTAGCTGTCCAAATAGCTTTACCATCCCCCCAACTTTTACCATCCCCCAACTCCCCCGTGCCTTGACAATTAGCACATGTAACTCTGGACTCTCTCTCAGCGGTGAGGATGCCAGCCCAACTCCCCTGGCTTGCAGAAAAGCGAGCAATTAGCACCGGCAAGAGCCTGAGCAAGCACCAGGCAGTGGGACGCCATTACACAGCCATACTCATCTCCCTTACTTCACTTCTAACAAGTACTCAAGCTACTGGCAGGTTTATTTCAGCAAAATTAAGACACAATTCCAACCTTAAATCCGTTTCTCCAAGCCTTGAAAAACAGATGGCATTTTCCATGTTTCTGCCCCAGGAATCATAAGCGAGGCTCCAGCGCTCACCCAGCGTCATGTGCTCAGGGGGATGTCACACCAAACCCCACACATCCTGCCTGCGCGCTGGAAGCCTGCTGCATGTTGGTTCTCAAGAACATCTGGTCCTTGAAAGCAACATTCCAGTCCTCCTCGGGAACCAGTTCAAAGATAGCCAAAATGCATTGTTCCTAAGATTTTTTTTGTTGTTGTACCTTTAAATGCGGCTGTTCTGTTCGGCTGTTCTGTTCACTGGCACAGCGCAGCAGCCATTCACTCTCATCCTGCAGAACACGCTAACTCTGCCAGCTGCTTAAGGAAAAGGCAAAAAATGAGGCCCACCGAAGGGGACAGTTTTGCTTGCGCTCACTTCCAGCCTGCAGATCCTTAAGGAACAGATGCCAAAAGTATTACTGTACCTCCTAGTGAAGAAATCACAGGCGTTTCACACTCCCTTTGGCAGAAGCAGAGCTCTAATGTGAAATGGTTGTACCACAGGAGTGTGTTTCACTTGCAGAAAGGACAAGTATCCACTTACATTTGTGCTTTTTCATTATCATGGAAGATGTTTTTCTTTATGCAAACACAATGCATAATATTGCTTAAGAATAAGCTTTCGCTTGTGTAACTTAATTCAAATACAATTTTAATATTTTCAGCATCTTTATAATATTCGTTTTCTAACTTCTTTTACTGCATTTATTCACCAACTCCCAAGACTGAAAGAGGACAACTGCTTTCGTTAAAGATCATTTAAGGATTTATAACCTCCTGATATAAAGTATCTTCTCCACATGATGGGGATCCATTTCCTGCACAAGCATCTACTTGCATACATTAATTCTGTCAGTGTGAGGTGGGCAAACAAGAATTTAAGTTGATATTGCAAAATACAATGATATATATCCAGAGGAAAAAATCCTAAGTGTTCTTTACTCGGAATTTTTTAAGCAATACAAATTCACTAAAAAACAAACAAACAAACAAACAAAAAACCCCAAACAAAACCTGAAAGTATTAGCAGTTTGCTCTTTGAGCGTCAGCCAATTATCTGAAGTATTCACAACACAAAAAAATACTCCAAACAGCCCAATACACTCTTCATATCTACTCTGAATGGCTGCCACCTAAATACATAATCCTTTTCCAACCCATTTTATGAGCTTTATGCTTCCCTGTTACTCTGAGTAGCCTTTTCCTTTTATGGCTTAGTGCTCCATCCCCAAAAGCTTTCCAGAAGGCAGCTTGCATGAGATTATTGTCTTTGCAAGAATTACCTCTGCCACAGCACCGCAGCAGCTGGTGTGGTTTCCTGAGGAGTGTAAAGGATGCCCTCCCCTTCAGCCACTGCTCCTACTTGAACATGATTTGCACAGTATATTCCCCACCCACACAGGAAATCTTTTTTGAACAAACTGAAGATCACATTCAGACCAACACACAGCTAAAACTGACGACCAGTCTTCCATTATTGCCCTTCTCCAAGCAGCAGGACGACCACCACGCCTCCCACCAGGGTTCCGGAGGGTCCTGCACAGCCCTTTGCTAGCCCGCTGGCTACCAATGGGTCCTTCAATCCCGGTCTGTAGCTGGCAAATCCTCCCTTTCTTCCCCCATTCCAGGGGGGTTAACAAGGAAAGAAGCAGGTGGCCACGTCTCCACTTTCTGCCTCAGGCTAGAAACCACTCAGCAAAGGCATCCAGGATTTTTAAGTATGGCCTCAAAACTTCTCCAGCCACCAATAATTAAACTGAACTCTTCCCAGAAAAGAGCTTGCTTTTGAATTTTTCAACTCGCACATCAGGCCCAGTTTGGAGAATTGAGCATCATATTTACGCAAGTTCCTTCAGCATCACAAGGACACATGCACCAACCCTCCCTATTTTCCCTGCTCTCTCCAGTCCTCTCTAATCAGAATTCTGCAGTTCCTTCCCTTAAAAAACTCCAATTCATGATTTTTTTTTTTTACAGCTTAGTGCTACAGCCCATGAAAGGACCTTTGAGGCGAGAAGTTAAAACCATTGAAAACATACTCAGAAACAGGATAATCTTACATATAAACAAACATAGGTCAGACTTTCTGTATTGTCATCAACAAAACAAGATTTTCAGAGATAAAATCCTGGACCAGACAGTTACTTGCAAATGTAATCAACCAGAAGAGACTTCACAGAAAAAGAAATTAATAACAAGCTGTGAAACACATAAAGGAGTGTCCCATTACTGCCTGCCTGCACCAAGCAAAACCACTCAGGTACAGATGAGCTCCCCCTTCCTGAAGGCTTTTAGCATTCACAACTGTGAAAGAATGCAAGAGAACCGCATGATGCAAGACCTTAGTCAGAAGCCAAACCCACAAAACTGAACTCTAAATCTCATGAACAGTAAAATCAATTAGCACAATCTCAGATCCTACTTAATTTTCTTGCAAGAATCTTTTTTTAATGTTTGGCCATCTTCGCTCCAACTCTCAGAGGACTGTTTTAGAAGATAGCACTTAAAACGGCGATCGCTCATTCCATCCATAAGTAAAACTCTGGGATTTAGTAAATGAAAAATTAAGTCACTGCAGGAACACATGCACACATACAAAATCCAGAAATGATAACCATTACCTTACTGCACTAGGTACAGACTGCAGGTTACCTGTATAACACACAACCTGCAATTCAACTTTTTTTTTTAAAAAAAAAAAGGGCGTGGGGGGCAATTTTACCTCAGAACCTCTTCTTACCCACTGATTGCTCTGCTTGGCACTTCTAACGCCTGCTTGCTCAACTCCAAACCTCCTACGTTTAGGTCCTCATTTTGCTGGCACACCTGATGGCTGTACCATAATTCTTTGAAGAGGCGTTATGTAAAACCATACCTGACATGTAAACGACAAAATTTTAACATATAATAAATATCTGGAAATATTCTGAAATGGTACGTGACGTCAATAATTCTACTGAAGTAACGGTAAATATGAATTACCCTGTTTGGAAAATTAAATTTAAAAAAAATAAAAATCACTTAATGGCTCAAAAAGTGGAGCTAGAACAATAGAAACTTCCAGCATTTCAGTGTTACCACAATAACAAATGTCTGGGTATAACTGGACATTGCAGTAATTATAAAATGTTTGCTAAAATGGACTACTATTTCTGGAGCATAAACATAAGCCCATTTCATCTCTTCAAGGTTTTGTTTAACTAAATCTAGGTGGAAACCAATAGCCGAGTACAACTCCCATCAGCTCTCACTTCGCATGGATTGAGGCAAAAAATCTCCAGCCTCCTGCCAATTGCATTGGCCAAAGAGGAGAAACTTCCCGGTCCTCTGACCCGCACCAGGGCATCACTGGCTTCCCTGCTCTCGGTGCTGCCTCACCGCCCATCAGAGGAGCAGCAAGAACCTGGGAAGGAGACAGAAGTAACCAAACCTTTAAGATCTATCTGATTCAGCCACCTCCCCATCACTCTCTTCTCACAGAGCAACCCGAGCTCCCATTGCCTTCAAGAAACCCGCACAACACACTAGAAAAACATGTAAGTGAAGAACTATTTCTGCTGACTGGGAAGACCAAAAGACAGAAGATGTGAACGTTCCAGAAGCTGGAAAAGGCTCCGCAGAGGATGCAGTCTGCCTCTAGAAGATGCTGCTACTACAGTTACAGAGAGCACTGGTTTTGGAAGGCAGTTTCAGTAAAACTGCAAAACTCGGATGTTATCAGTGCACACCAGAAGCTCAATCCTAGGGTTGCCCATCAGGACCCAGAACTAGGGTTTCATTTCTAGCTCAAAAGTAAACTATACAGAAGTCAACACAGTATCTGGGTGCTTGGAGGCACAATAATCTTATGCGGAGAAAGTCAAACGAAGCCGGTGAACTCGAGCGGAGCCTGACGATGCTCACCTCTAGAGAGCAAGTCAGGCTACTGCACGTCTTGGGACAAACAGAACATGACCTAGGACAGCAAGTCACCGCTAGAATGGAAACGAGAAGTATCTGTGCAGAAGTCTGAACTGTCTCGAGTCTTACGGCACTTCGAATTGCTTGGAGGGGAAAAACATCCAGAAAAGCAAACAATAAAAGATGAGGTTAAAGGGACACTCCAAACTTGCCCTAAAATTTCTACCACGCAGGAAGGAAAATCTGACAGCGTAAGCAAAGAGCAAAGAGGCTTCCATGAAAACAGCTAGAAGGTCAGAGGGGTTACTGGAAAGATTCAGAGGCAGTGATAAAATGACCGCTCTGTACCCAACTGCAATGCCCATCCAGTCACCTCTGGCAGACATCTCCTCTTACGTTCCACCAATTCCTGTGCTGGGTCATGTGCCGTTTGTGTAATTCAGCCATGTTAACATCCTTTTGAAGTCAAACTTAGCACATGCAACAAACCCTTTACACTGAGTCACTGGAAAATACTGTAAAAAACACAGAGAGAAAACTAGGGGCCAATGTCAGGAGAAAGCTTGCAGATAAAACAGACGCAGCAGTGGATCGTGTCCCAGCGCAACAAGATTAGCCACATACACGGGTGCCCAATATTGCCAGGGTACATCAGGCTGTTCTGCAGGCTCTGGGAAAGCTTGGTGCTGTTCAAACTCAGTGGTGAAACGAGGCAGAACTGCCAGAAGTAGTAAAAACTGGCAGTTATGTTTTCTTATAGTATTTTCTGGGTTTTTCCTTACAATATTTTCTGCTTTTTTTATTTGGAAAAAATACTTTCACTCACCGCTCAGTGCCTGTCATGCAACTGGTTTTGTAAAGGTGGGTACCAGTTTAAGTCAATCTGTGAACCCCAAATTCTGAAAAGTTTATGGGATTTTATTTAATGACTGCATCAGGTAGAATCTTACGGTAGACAAGCAGATTACTCATTTTCTTCAAACAGATGATGTGGGAAGTAAAAAGTATCACCAACATGAGAAGGGCAAGTTTATTTAGTAACGGCTTTAACAACACAAGGCAGTCTTTGAAAATAAGGTCACAGTGCTGGAATTACCTGTGTCAAATTGTCAGGAGATAGGATTATAAAGCTTTCTTTTCCAACTTCAACAGTTCTTATGAGAAAGAGGGAAAAGGGCCTGGATCATTAAAGCTTACAAATTATGGTCTCTGTCCATCCAGCTATGCAATGTAACATGAGCTGATGTGAAGCAGGAAAAGCTGAGAAAGTACATCAATTAACTTTCAGACAGAAATTTCAAAAATTCACAAAAAACCCCCAGGCTTTACACCTTTAGACTGAGTACGGTGTTTAACTGGTTTTAAGAAATGAGATTTTTTTCACGGGTTGTTTTATAAAAGGAATAAACATTTCATTAAAAGTTTACTGAAACGGTTCATAATTGCTAATAAAATCTGAATTACTGAAACCTCTAGAAGCACTATAAATACAGTAACAGCTTCATTATATTTTGCATAACTACTCATAGCAATACAGTAAAATAACTCCTTTGACAAGCTGATAACCGAACCAACCACAGCAGCAGCAGCTGAGTGTCTGGAAGGGTGCTTCTGCAGTCAGTTAACCACACAATTCTACAATCCACAGCATCCTCTCACAGCAACTTCTGGCTTAAGGGAGGCTTTAGTTAGAAAAGCAAATCACAAGCAAAAACGTTTGAGGTTTTTACTTCTCCCTTTTTTTGAACGACTTATGAATACTAAAAGTTACTGATTAAAAACATGACAAAAAGTTCAGGAAGCACCATTCCTTATCATTCAGATAACAAGAATTCAGCCGAGCCTGTAGGCTACAGCTTTGACAGACAAGGGCTTTAAGGACAGGGCTTCGACAAGACCACGTGAATCGACCTAGACTCGGCCTAGACTTGACTGCAACGTGTGATTCCTCCATTATTCACAGCAGCATCCATCTGTGCCATGTGAAAGACTACACGAAGCAGTGACTGGAGGGCGCCGAGCCCCCTCCCCAGATCTTTGGGAAGTTTTTCTCCTGGCTTGCCAAACTCATCCCACCCCTTTTTCTCCCTAACCAGGTAGTCTGCGTGAGCAGAGGGAAGCCCTTCGCATGCACACGTGGGCCTGCAGGTGCCCTCAGCTGAGCAGGGCCTCCACTCTCCACGTCCACATTCCGCAGCCTTTTGGGGACAACACTGACGTTGTGGATGAGAAATCCCGGAGCGCTGCCGAGTGGCAGGGACTATTCACAGTGCTAGCAGTTACGCAAGGAATCCGAGGGATGACTAGATTTCAGTCGAGCCATCGGACGCGGGTACCTACTTCAGCCAACACCACGGCAGCTGTCGAGCATAGCGGAGAGTCTCCGCTGGCGAGAGCGGTCAAACCGCCCAGCTCGAAATCTCCAGACTCGCATGGCGGCAAAGGCCCTTTATTTCCCCCTCATTTCCTTTCGGGACAAATCCCCAACGGAAACCGCACCCCCCTTCGCAGCCCCGGGACAGGGGCT